CTCTCTCTCTCTCTCTCTCTCTCTCTCTCTCTCTCTCTCTCTCTCTCTCTCTCTCTCTCTCTCTCTCTCTCTCTCTGCTCCTACACCATGGCGTCTTCTGTCTGTCGGAGTCCGGAACCTCTCTCCCCCCCCCCCCTCTTTCTTCTCCATGGAGTGTTCCTCGCTGTCTACGTATGTTGACCAATCAATCAATCAATTGTGATGCTTGGTCGCTGCGCACTCCTCCTCTCATTGCTCACCTTCTTCTCGCTCCTGCGTCCCCTTCCTACACTCCCTTCTCTCCCTCTTGCCCGTATTCCTGACTGCATTCATGGATTTTCACTTTTTTCAGCCACGTGAATGTCGTGCCTTAAAGGCTCCCTTCGCACCTCTTTCCCGTGGTCCCGACTGTATTCGTTGATTTCCACTTTTTTCAGCCACGTGATTGCTGTGCCTTAGAGGCTGCAGCTGTTTCCTTTTTTTTCTTTTGCTATTTTTAGGTCGGTGATGGATACCTACCTACCAACCTACGTGCCATCTGAAACTGTTTTCTCTTCTTTTTCTCTCTTCTTTTTTTGGGAGGAGTGCAATTAGTGATGTTTGGAACTTAAGGTACTGTATTTTATGTCATCTTCCTTTTCTGGGTTGTTGATTTTTTCCTGAGTTTTCAGTAATTCCCAGCCCTCCCCCTTCAGCAGGATGTGTATCTGGACGTCTTCTCATACACATGGATGGAGGGTTCCGTTCACGTTTTGTTCTGGTAAGCAAGCCCGTTAAGAGTTGTTTCTTATTTTGTTGAGTACTCTTCTTCTTTTTCTTCTTCTTCTTCTTCTTCTTCTTCTTCTTCTTCTTCTTCTTCTTCTTCTTCTTCTTCTTCTTCTTCTTCTTCTTAATGTGGACCATTTCTCGATTTACGTGTGTCATGCTTGCTCAGGGGCCATTTTAATCTTCTCTGTTTTGTCTTAAGGGATTCTTCCTTCTTCTTCTTCTTTCTTCTTCCTTCTTCTTCTTCTTATTTCTTCTTCTTCTTCTTCTTCTTCTTCTTCTTCTTCTTCTTCTTCTTCTTCGTCTTCTTCGTCTTCTTCGTCTTCTTGATGTGGACCATTTCTCGATTTATGTGTGTCATGCTTGCTCAGGGGCTATTCTAATGCTCTCTGTCTCGCCTTCAGGGATGTCCTGAAGGACTCCTTGCTTTGGCTTCTTCCTTGGTTTGAGTTGCGGCGTCACTTTTCTTCTTCCTTGGTTCGAGTTGCGATGACATTTTTTCGGGTTTCTGTGTTGCGTTTGCTGAACTTGGCTCTTAAAAATTCCGAAATTCTCTTGAATTTAGGTACGATTTTTTAACATACGGTCGATATGTGTGACTATTTTGCTTTTTTTGAACTTCGCAATATGATGGAAGTTGTTGATGGCGAAGATGAAGACGAAGGTTTGAAGGAATGCCGGAGAGAGGAAGAACGAAACGACGCCAATCACCACGCGTCCACGCGTACAAGTAATTCAGTAAACTGCATGGATAGTAAAGCTCACAAAGTGTTGATTTCACCGTTGGAGTCCTTGCCTGTACTGGGACAGTAGTAGTCTTGGATCCGTACGTCTGGGCCCAAGCCCTCCTCCGTGCAAGCATGGATTCGAACTGGCAACCTCGGCCTCAAGAGACAAGTCTCTTAACCACTACAGCCAGGACATGGACAGCCAAGAAAGGGCGCTTCTTTTTTATCGACAACAACAACAAAAAAAAAAAAGTTAAAGGTGAGTTGTTAAGATTGGAGTGGTGGTTTCTTTTTTTTTCCTTTTTTTTCTGACTTCTTTTTCTTTTCAATCAGAACAATGAAAAACGATTGCGAAGCTGATAATGGAATTGGAGTGGTGGTTCAATAATTCAATTACTACCGGGTGGTGCTTGAAATGAGCACAGGGTGTTTGTTTGAGCTTTGAATGATGCAGTTGAGTTGTGAAGACTCTCCTCCTCTCTCACCACCCTGCCCATCTCTCCAAAGCGCTCCCCCCCCCCCCCCCCCCCCCCCCCCCCCCCCCCCCCCCCCCCCCCCCCCCCCCCC